TTGGGAGAGGGGGTTGCAACTTCACTCCAGGGGCTGCAACCCCACCCCCCCAAAGTTTCCCATGGGTTGCTACCCCTTGACTACAGGTAGTGGAAGGCGGTTGTTGGGGCGCGTCGATCTCCATGGGCGCGAGATGCGGATGTACTTGCATACCCTGACGTGCGTCATCGAGAATCACGGGCGGTGGGGGACCGCCACGGAATGGTGGCGGCGGGCTACGACCTGCAGGACCGGCACTTGGTGGGGGAATATCGCCCGCAGGACCACGAGAGTCGGCATGGAAAGGCGGGCGGGAACCACCTCCAGTGTGCATAGGAAGCAGAGCACCAGGCGGACCAAGCGCTGGCGGTGCGGGGTTGGCGTATAAGGTCGGGTGCACGTCTTGTGGCGCAGGCGCCGCCGAGACCTGGGCACCTGTCGCTTGCGAGTGCTTGAGGACTTGGAGTCGGCCCGCGATGCTGGCGTTGCTTAGGCCCAGCTCAGCTGCATGTGCATAGGCGTCGATCGCATCCCCGATTTGGTTGTTGCACAACTCGTAAAGGCTGCCGAGGTGGTACCAAACTTCCGGGATGTATGGGTTGATGCGGATGGCACGCGAGTAGGCGTCAAGTGTGTCGCGGTACTGGTTAATCTGGAAGTAGAGGACACCAATAGAGCACCAGAATGTCGGGTTACGACCGTCACGATAGACCGCCTGTTGGTATGCCTCGTACGCCTTGTTGTACTTCTGGCCGGCCATGAACGCGCGGCCAAGAAGGTACCAGCTTTGCGCGTCGCCAGGGTCGGCTTCGAGTGACTCGGTCAGATATTGAATGGCAAGTTCCTGGTCCTGGAACGAAGTGCCATCCTGGTGGTAAAGCCACCCGAGCTGCTGCAATACCTTGGCGTGCGTCGGGTTCTCCTGAACTACACGCGTGTAGGCGTCACGAGCACGGTCGAACTGTGAGTTATGTTAGTTCCAAGATGCCACAAGAGAAGTGGACGTCCACTTACGTGGCCCTGCTGTTCGTGGACATGTCCAATCTGGAAATAGATATCGGCGTTGGCGAGCGGGCTTGGCGGATGGCGGAGTATGTGCTCGAAGCAGCGCAAGCTCTCGGAGTACTTGGTCTGCTGCTTGTAGATTATGCCTAAGCAGAAGAGGACTTCGTTCGACTTGTCAAAGTCCTTGTCCATCTTGAGCACCGACGCGAACGCCTTCTCGGCATTGTCGAGCGAGCCGTAGCGATCGTACAAGATGCCGATGCCGTACCAAAGCTTCGGGTTCTCCTGCGAGAACAGGCGCGCATCAGAACTGTCCGAGATGGCAACAAGGCTAACAAGCATACCTTTGGATTTGGTAACGAGTAGAGCGCGTGCTGATAGGCCTGATACGCCTTTTGCAATTCGTCTTGCATCAGATAGCAGTGGCTGAGCGCGCTTCATATCTCGCCGTTGTCAGGCTGGAGGCTGAGCACGCGCTGGCAATAGTCGATAGCCTATGATGACGGAGTTAGCAGCTTGCTCCAGTCTCGCGAGCTCATCCGAACCGGTAGACAGCCACGCTGGCTCGGCCAAACTTCCAGAGATCGAGTGTGCCAGCGCGAACAGTATGTGAGAGAGGGTACGATGAGGTGGTAGCAGACAAAAGGCAACGAGGCGCGAGGCGCACTGGTGTGCTGCGCTACGTTCCGCTCGCCCGGTCCTCGCAGGCTCGGCCCAACCTGCAGGCAGCAATCCGAATGCACCGTACCTACGCTTGTCTCCACCCACGATGTATACCCCTCCCGATGTCTACTGTACTTGCCCGTTATGCTATCCCCGCAGTCTGATACCTCACGAGCTCTGGTTATGGCACAGACACTATGCAAGGCAATACAGACTGCAATCTCGAGATGCTGTTGATCCAGATCTCAGCGCTCTCAGCGACTCGGAAGATGACATTCCGCCACTTCTTGAGGCAGCCAACCCTGAACAAGCTGATACAGGTACGTGATCACCTATTTCCCTCGCTGCAACATCAGATCTGATCACTGTACACTGGAGCCACAAGGATTCCCAGCAGTCAGGATATAATAATACTGGAAGTATGCAGTTCTATATTGGCATCCTTAATGAGATCGTCGTATGACAAGACAATCTTAGGCATTATTTGAACGATTGAGGTCGGGTGTCGAACGACTCCCAGGCGAGCTGTTTCGCATGTTCGAGTCTATAGGTCGGCTACAATTCTGGGATATATAGATGCTTGGGCACCACGTACAGCCAGATACCCTCCGAACTCTGGGTTGCAGTCATGTATGTCTTGCCATCTCTTCCTGTTCATACAAACATTCTCAAGAACAGCATTCAGCTAATTTGGTGGCCCCTGCGCCGACACCGGTTGGTTTTGAAACTCGAGCTACTGTATCTGTATGTCATCATTTGTCCGTGATTGTACACCTTGGATGAACTGTTGTTGAGGCCTCACAGGTGCACCGAAAGAGTGCTGCTCTCGGTGTCGGCTTCATCATCCTTCTTAGCGTGCTTAGTGCCCGACTTATTCCTAGGTATATGTGATCAATATACAAGCTGTGGCATTGCCAACTTTAGCCTCTCCTTTTCCTGAGCCTCCTACGTGATCGCACGCCTGAGTGCAACCGAGCAAGCCCGCGAGCGGCGGTACAATGGCGATACGTCGCCCATGGCAAGTACGGTCGAAACGGGGAGAT